AGATTCTTCCTTTCACTCAAGCGTGAGGGCGGAACTCTGCTAATGCGATGTTGTAGACTTTGTTAGAACTCCTGAATATTGTGCGCCGGAGGTGGATTGACTCGGAAGGCAGTGCCAAATGCTAGCCAATGTTCTACAGTGACCGCGTCCTTTATTTCCTCGTAGAGTCATGCTTTTCTCACTCCTTTAAATTCGATTTCGACTTGTTGAAAGTCTCTTCCTCTCAATTGATGCGCTCCAAACCTGGGGCTTGGCAAAAATTGGTACTGTCTCACTTCTATCCGTAACAGTTGACTTTCTGCCAAGTGTGTTTATCCTGGCAAAGAGCTCAAACTTTTTGTACTTTTGCTGCTGCTAACTTATTGCCTAAGTCATGCCTGAGGACGCAATAAGCTGCAGCAACCTGACAGTAGATTTTATACTGCCGTAGGGGTACAGAATACCACGCAATTAGCATCGCAGCTGCCAGGTGAGATGCATGCGCACGGTCAGAGATGCAATTAAAGAGCAAATGTCCTTTCATTGCAGAACATTCTCATCCGCGTCAATTGCGATGGAGCCATGCCACTGCCAGCCTGGACCTGTAATCGAAATGGAAGTGGTGGTGGTGGTGGCGGCGGTGGTGGAGAAATCTTCATGTTCACCCAGACAGAACCCTCCCACGGACTGAGCATCGATCAGATGACCGAGCTCTGGGATCCCAAATCAGCGCCCTGTGCCGGGCTACCCATAGTCACCCCCTCTGTCGCGCCTGCCAGTCTCTTCCATCGGTATCACCGCTACCCTCCTTACACTGCTGTTGTCGGTGATCTGGGCGTTTGTCTCGATTTGCGGCAGTAAGTGGGATTCACTTTAAACACTGTTAATCCACCAGCTTCACATATGCGTGTCGTCCAGACTTTCTTATCTGGCTCCGGTGTCACCACCACGTTACATGTGTTCTTTATCCCTTTATGGTAACTAAGTTCCAAATCTAACAGTTTGGTTGATTTCCAGGCCCAAAAAAAGTAGATGTATGGTGTCCTTGGTGTTTACGTTTTCATTAGTTAATAGAATTCCCCTTCTTACTCACCTTAGTCCGACCTTCTCTTCCAGTTTTATGCTCAGTTCCCCCAAACTACATTAACTCCTTTCCCCTCTGAGGGGTCATATTTACTGTACTTTTAAACTGCACTCACTAAAGTTGACAGTGGAAGTATTCTCAAACTAAACTATTCCCGAATCGTGATGCTGAGGCAGCCTTGTTTTTAGGGTCGAAAACTGAAAAAGCTATGTTTGGAATTCATGTCCTGCACAAATTCACTGAATTGATGACATTGTGAAATTTCTGAAATGGAAATAAACAAAGGCTCGAATCACTCTCCGTACCCTGCGATATTTGAGGCTACTTGACCTTGAAGTGCCCTCCACTGCCTCCCCCGAGTAGCATCATGAAATCGCCTGAGCACTTGAAATCACACTGTGTGACCACCTAGGCTAATGGCAAAGTACTGCCTCTTTCTTATCTTCAAGAACTTTGAAGTGATCATCTGACTAGACACGCGCGTGAAGGGGTTTGGTTATTAATTTACGTAGTTGAACTGCAAATTTGCCTTGGACTCAGTTCGCACAAAATTACTTCTTCTTCGACTTTTTGCTGCATAGAGTGGCGGTAGGGTAAATAACCGGTGCTTAGTCACGGAAAAAAAATTCACGTTGTCTAATATTTTAATTGTTTAAGCTGTTCATCTAAGTTAACCAATCACGATCGCGAGGGTCATCCCCTGATACTGTGCTTTCATTGGCTTGAACGAGCTACATCGGTTCCTCCTTCATTCCTTCAAAATAAAAGGAGTCTTAATCATGTAGCTGTCAGTCCTTGATTCTGAGACCTGTAGTGACGTCTAACCGGTACCTGGTCACAAAAAACCCGCATTTTCAAAAATTTAATCGTTTAAATTGGCTAATTAAAGTAATCAAGCACGATCGTGGGGGTTGCCCCAACCTTGTTGACTATATCGCCTGTAGCAGCTATACAAATTATTTTTAGTACCTTCTCCCAGCTCACCTTAATCCAAACATGGGTGGCTGGTATGGGGGCGGATGGGTGAATTTTCACATTTACCTCAAGGTCGGGCGCACTCAACTGTGCCTAAAAACATCTTTAGACAAGGGTCAGACAAATGTGCATGTTGTGTGTTGTCTGCGCCCTGCGATTAAGGCTGTCGGCACTTTTGAAGCCACTCCTAGGTTTGTGGTGGTGTTGCCTTCCATCAGTTGATCGCCAACATTGTTTGTGTGATTTTTGAAATAGGAATGGACTTGCTGTAACCTGGAGAATGCAAGCGATTTTCTACGTGTACTGCAAAACGCACATTCGGGTCGGTTTATTATCGGGGCGGCGCTCATGGCTTTGCTCTCCTTTTTTTTAAATTCTCATTCCATTAAATGTTGGTTGAACCTGGTTCCGGACGGGAGGGGGAGGAGGGTGCTTCGACTACCTTAACACTAGCTCTAGCCAATTGGATGGATGGATGGTTTGCAAGCCTCTTTCTGTCGCATTAACCAGGGATTGAAAATTATCGTAGCGATTCCTTTTAACGAGTTAAGTATTTAACAAACCTTGGCTCAGTTGCTAAAGCCGATAACATCACCTAGGCTGGACTGTTGGATGGTTTTTGGTCAAAGTCACTTGTGTGTTTTGTTACACAGAACAGCTCGGTGCCACGTGATGGCAATCTCTGCCATATTTGCATAAGTCGAGTGTCTTTAATGCAGTGTTGCCTCTGATTTTTTTCTTGTATTTGAGATAACTCGTCTAGTAGTGATCCAATTGAGCCCTTCCATGCACTGAGGTAGGCTCCTTCCATGCCATTTATCTCCCCACCTATTCTACCGCTGAGGCTTCGAAGTGGATGTATTTTTTCCCTTCGCTTTTCTTGCCATGATAGGCGAAATGTGGACGCGACAATAATCGCAGGCAGCGCCTACTGCACCGCTCCCGAGTGTTTGCGCAAACTGGCGCCCTACTCACCGGCTGCTGATATCTTCGCCTTTGGACTTCTGGTCTGCGAGCTCATTGCGCGTCTTGTGAATAATGGAATCACCATTCCTCGCACCGCTGTAGGTTCCAAGTCCAAATATATGTACTCATTTCATTTAATTAGCCTTATTTTTTATTTACAAGACTGGCAAACTCATCGTCTCACACTTGATTTATTACAGGAGTTCGGACTTGATAAGGACAATTTACCTGTACCTCCAGACTGTCCATCGTGGTTTCTTGACTTGGCAGTGGACTGCTGCAAAGTTAACCACTTGGAACGTCCCTCCGTGGACGAAATCACGGATCGAATAATAGGTCATTCCATCGACTCCGCCTTTATCGATTCGAGGGCATTTAATTTCGCAGCTGTGGAAAAGGTTTGTCTCATGAAGACAAGATTCTTTACGCGGACCGTTGATGAGTGACAGCTCTTCCTATGCTAATATTAACTTGTCGCTTCTGTAGGATGGCGCGGCTGAAAGGAGCTCGCGGAAATGCTTCAGTAGTTCTTCCTTACGCAGTACCAATAGTCAACAAATTACTGCAGCAGCTGCTACTGTTCCACCGGATTGTCTCGGATGACTCCATATAGGTGCTTAATCTCCCTCCTCCTCCTCCTCCTGTACATGCATTCTCATCACGTATGTCCCTGTCTACCTCAGTATTTAGCACCCACTTATTGCCAATTAAGTAGCACTTTTCTTTTGTACAGCCAGTCAATACAAAAAGAGATGCTCTATGCTCCGCCAACTGCATTCCCTCGATACGTCTGTCGTACCTTCTCCCAGTCTGAATTTCATTCAGCCTGTATAGTTATTTGCTCACACCTCTCGTAGTCATTCCCCTACGAGGCACCCATGAAAGCCTAATTTCCCTACTTGTTTTACTCTCTCTCCCTCTCTCACTCGTTGAATTTACTTTTTATCCTTTGTTATTGTGTAACTCGTTATCGAGTCAGTGATCGCCTCCCTATATTCCGTGGTATCTTGTAGAACCATTAAAATACCCGTGGGATGCACATGTTCCGTTTTTTTTATTCTATTCACCGTGGTCCCTTGTGTATCGCTCCCGAGTCATCCTTGAAGACATAGTAAAGCATACCAAGTGGTAGTGTGGCTTGTCATCCGCAAATATGAGAGCTGAGAGGTTATGGACGTGGAAAGAGTACCTTAGAATCCCAAAACCGTGGGGAATGAATGTGTCATCTTGTCGCGTGGTCTCGGTGCTCTTTCCGTGAGTGTGTTATAACCAATCGCTGGTTGGAATTGAGACTTATGGAAGAAGTTGCCACGATGAGGAGACTAAAACCTACTGAAGGCTTCAGATACTGGATAAAGTTCCTGAATATTGTGGCCTATTCAAGGCGAAATATTCTAAGGGAGTAATTGATCTGAGAATCCACCAAAGGTCATTTGATGTTCTACAGTGAATGGACCTCGTGTACCAGTCACCTCAAGGTAACATGGAGGCGAGGGGTATCAGTGTTTGCAGGATAGTAAGTAGGCATTTGAGTATGGGGGACTTAGGGTGAGTCTTATCCCTAGGGCGGATTTCGATTGGTTGAGATCTGGTCTCACTTCGTTAAAAACCATTACGAAGAATTGGGAATTGAGGGCGTGACAAAAGTTCACTTGTTTAGTGAGCGTTCTCTAGTGAAGTTCTTCAGATTCAACTATCATCTGAAGTAGAAGTCTTCCTTCTGTGATGTCTGAGGGAGGTAACTTTTGTTGTCAGTGAAAGGAATACTCGGATGAAATGTGCATTGTCAACAAGCAGCAGGATTTGGAGGGTACTGGCTTGGCCCGGAGGCGAGACCGCTCAGCGGAGGCACACTGGCGGACTGAATTCCATAGGACCAAGGTATTGGCCAGAACCATGACGTCTTACGTCACCGTGCTGTTAAATATATCACCAAATTAAACCGCTTTGTCCTGTAATTTCTTTCCAACTCCCCATCGTGATTGTTCAAGCCTGAAAATACAAAAGGTCTGGCTTTGCTCCATACACACATATGGGACAAGGCAGCGGCTGTCGAATGGGAAGTCAGTTTCTCTGGCCTGTTTATCCAAGGTCGTTGAGTAAGCGCTGGTTTTCCGTTCGTGTCATAGGCTAACTGACTCACGAGGTAGGGTCGACGCCCATCGCCTCTGCTATGTCAACGTAGACTAGGCCATACTAGATGCTGTTGCTTTGGCAACCGGTAGGAAGCAACAATAATGGGTGAAAATATTAAGTTTGGGATCCTTTGATAAGGTACTTTACATTACACAGGTCTTTTGTCGTAAAGGGTCGATGAGTGTCAGCGGCTTGAGTCAAAGTCTTCGGTGATGAATTAGTAAATCAGGATAGACATAATGGAGGAAATTAAATGGTTGTATAGGTCTCAAAAGGTAGAGATTTCACTCTCACTAATTCTGCTATTCGCCTTCGAACTATGCCATTAGTCCCCCACCCAGCCCTTGGACATGTCGACAATACATATTCCGCCCGAGTATTATGTCACACTTTGTCTTAAAGGAGGTCTTAGGTTGCTACACAACGATGAACACTCGTCTCGCCCATCATCTTCTTACTCAAATTATAAAGGATATCTAAATGATTAGGTTAGATTGTTTGTGAGCCCATTTGGGTGTTAAAGAAGAAATATACACTTAAAATGACTTTCTTTCCAATGCATAGAAGGGCTGCCAGAGTAGTGGAAGGGCTCCATTTCACCGACTTGAGGAAAGGAAATATGGAAGACTAAGAAGGTCTGAGTGGTTTACTGTGCAGTTAGAAGGCATTCCATTAGCTACCGCTTGACAGCATCTTACTGTTTGTTATTACTTCCATTTTTCGCCAAAAAATTTAAAGCCATTTTCTATTTAATAAATAATAGCGTTTTGAGGACGATGCAAAAGGATGGGGAATGTTTGCAAACGCTAGCGATTCCCGCTGAATTTGGCGAGCACCTAACCGGTTATTTAATGTATCCCTTTGCAAATACCTCGGCCACCGCCTTGCCACATGGCTACATCAAGACCATTCGCAAGTTATACACGAACATGATACTGTGAAACCGTATCAAGGCTAGAAGACGCCTGCTCCGGTGGACAAGTAAACATGGCAAAACCGATAGCTGATGAATGAAAGGAGAAGTTTAGTACCCTTTTATTTAGGGAACGAAAAGATGATGGAGTAATTTAGTTGGGTTCAGGGCGGAAACAATGGGCTGAGTCATATGTCTACGCCCACAGCTTATGACGACGGTGGCTGAGCCATCGTTTTCAGGACAGCTTCCCTCTCTCCTTTAAGCACCTGTTTATAGGTCGCCATGACAATCCATTCACGAATGCATAGCCTTAGGGCAATAAAACTCTTACGCGCCTTTCCTTGGTTAACATTACTTCCTTTTTTAAAGAGTTGAATTACTCTTTTGGAATCTTAGAAAAAATTTCAATGCCAACATTCCAAATCTGCAATTTAACAAGATTGCATTCATTTCCTCTATCTCAACTTCACACTCGTAAATTGTGTATGCACTTGAATTTAATTTCACACTCTCCGTCCACATGCACAGATTGACATTGAGGGACTTTCTAGCTGTTGTACCACCTCAGAGGTTTCGTACCTTGGGCAAGCATCTATGTGGCCAGTCCTGAGGCATATAAAGTTCTCCCCTTCGCTTTGTGTAGATTTATGACACTTCCAAAATTTGACCTTGCCTCACTACTTAGCAGAGTACAGCCAGCTTCATGTTTGTCACGTGAAGGCGTGCGGAAGAATTGAGGGGAACAATACTGGCGGTCGTAAGTACTGGTAACCATAGCAATGCTCAAACAAGTGACTGGAGTCATTACTGTAGATTCAAACTCCAATCCAGAATAACTATTTTTTCATCTTCCTCTAACATGCCATCGTTTAGCTTGCTTGTTTACGGCAGGAGTATAGGGAGTAACATTTTTTGAACTGAAACGACCTTTCATTAAGATTGCATGTAAATCATGGATTGATAAATTTAAAGTTTACATAATATTCGAGATAATACTTGGGACGTTAAAGAAGTATTGTGAAAAAGCAAAAAATGTCAAAAAGGAAAAGAAGGACATTCGAAGCGGCTTTAGTTTGAATTCGGTAGTAGTCATTTCAGCCTTTATTTAATGAAAACTAAATTAGGAAAGCAAACCAGCAAACAAGCTTTTTTACATGTAGAAAACAAATAATATAATAAAGCATTAGGGGCACATCTATCTGCAGTATTGACAGTTTCGAAAAGGGTAATCGCTGGTGTTAGGGAAATTGATACTGTAGTTAATGATTGTTCGGGAAAATTTCACAACTGCCCATAAATAAGAACAGAAGATAGCCTATCTTAGTTTATACTGCTTTGTTACGAACCGTATTTTAGCTTTTTCTAAGTACATAGTCGTACCTAGGCATGGAAAATAACCCTAAGTGAGCTGTTGAAGAATATCCGGCCACATGTAATTTGTGGAAGTACCATTTTTTACCACTTTTAACGCAATCAGGCGGCTTGTATGGAATGGTATGAGGCACCTCAAGACTCTCCTGGAGAAAAAAAGATGACGTAATGTTAGGACATGACATGTATTGTCGACGTACGGCAGGACAAGAGGGCTGCTGACATGACCCGGCCACCCGGCGAAGGGGCATTGGCAGACCACCCTATTACGCTGGTGCCACAATCTTCATTTTAATGTGATATAACCAAGCATGGGTCGATTTGGGGTGACAAAAATGTGCAGCACTTCCCATCTGGCAATTGTAACTAATTGTAATGTGGAAAAAAAGAAAGACAAAACAAAATAAGATAATCGAAACAATAGCCTTGCTGCACGATTGGGGAGATGAAATCTGAGCGCACGGAGAAAAAGAGCGAGAGAGAGAAGTTTTTGTGAGCACAACTGTGAATGCCGAATGTTGGGTTATTTGAGACGTTATCATGCGCACTCACCTACACAAACGGAAACTCGCACGGTACAAACCTCCGCCCTATTTGATGTGATGATTTTGCTATTCCATCTCTCATCTAATGGCGGCTATATTAGCGAAGCTGCTCGGTGGGACTTGGTTTTGTCCACCCAGTGGTGCAGCATCTCTAGCAGTCTAGAGGTGGTTGTAAGGCAGGTGTGAGGTGACTTAAACGCAGGGAAAACCTGGGCGATGGTTGACAAAACACTCAACTTAAACAACCGTCTTTCTGTTTTACAGTTTTCCTTTTTTCTCCTCACCCAGGGAATGGGTTACCACAAAGTAGTCGTGGTGCTTTGAAAGGCACGCACGCAGGCGTGCATTTCTTGGTACTGCTAGAAAGCACTGTCCAGGGTTGTCTGCCTTGTGATCAACGCATTTATTTGATATTTGGGCTCGCTTAGTGCCACCAACAACGCAGGATGGATGGGGTCTGGAGAGAACCGTGCTGAAGAGATCGCGTAGTTATGATGCGGTACGATAGAGGTAAAAGATGCAGGGAAAGAGAAGTATGCCGACTCACACCTTCCCCCCTCCCCTCCCCTCCAAGCATTCATTCATCCATCCCATCCACCCCGTCTCCCCGTTGTGCATTAGCATAATAAAGGGGAGTCTCGCTCATTCCACGTGCACATCCCCTATACCCGTCTGATTGCGACCCAACCATACGATTATGCAGGATCTCGGCGATTAGCATACACTTACACAAACGCAAGCGGGTGTGAACACGATGCGATGGCCTCTATCGCCTTTGTGGCCCTTCACCACCACCGCCTCCTCCTCCCTCGCGCCCAACCCTGCACTGGGCTTCGAAGTGGTTGAGCCTCCAATGCATGAAGTTGATTCCAAGTAGTCTTCCACAATCCGGGTCAGGGGGACAAATCCTCGAGCAGGTGCACTCTACGGCGTAGTTCCTCAGATACATTCCAGAAGAGTTTGTTATTGTTATAAAGGAATCCAATGTAGAGTTGTTGGCAAATTTTACCAAAAAGAAAGAATTGCTGGATATGGAGCTAGTGAATCACAGAATGATCTGAAAGGCGGATAGTTGGTTCTTCAAACGTGACGATGCAATGGCGTCGTGATTGCACGAAACCCAAAGACACGAACCACTGCCGCCAGCCTAAGTTGTGAGAGGTGAAAATTATATCCACATTTTTAAAGCAATTTAAAAACTCTTTCATTAAATCGACTATAATGAAAAATACTATCACAATCTGTCGTGATGAGGCCTTTTATAAAAGTTGCTTCAACACTGACAGGACGGTTTTTGACAGTCGCGTCCACTGGCCGCCACCTCCGACGATGACTCACTTGTTTGAGTCAGTGGGATTAAAGGTGGGGTCACGCCTAAAGTATTCCCCTCATAACTGGATGTGTCGCCCTTCCGGTTTGTAATAAACTTTAGCGCACCAAAACATTGCGGACTTTAGGGACCAGGGACTATTAAATGTAACGATGGCTGGCGCGTTCCTGTCACCTAAGTCGTTATTATAGACGACTGATGGAACACAAAAGGCAACATCAAGGCACTGTGGAACCCGTTGATATAAGCATACATCACGATGGATCAGTAAAATCAGAAATCCATCTCCAAACGCTAAGGTAGAATGCCACTGACGCATCCACACCGAAGAGGTGGTGTGACTGTCGGCGTGACCGCTAATTCAGCCCACCGCATAGACTGTGGTGGGAGCAATCGATTGGCCTAAAGTACATCTGTGCCTCACGCACAAATGACGTCGAGGCCCACCAAAAAATCGATATTATTGAATGAACAGTGGAGTGAGTGTCTCAACCACCGCCTACAACATTTGAGTAGAACTAAAGCCCAAACAAAGAAAACTAACAAACACGCTTACTTGTGGATAAACAAACTCCCACAGCTGCTAGAACACGAAAAGGCGAAGGTTTGAGCACGCATTTGGTGTTTTTTTTTCCAGTGGGAAAAAATGCCGTGCATAATTAGCAATCGAGAGGAAATGTTCAAGGACGCAATTCGCACTGTCTCGAACCACTTTCCTCGCCTAATCCTGGCATTACCATCACATCTTGAGACGTGTGGTTTGCAAAATTAAAATTAACCGATTTAAAAGAGAACTATACAACCGTGAAGGAGAATTAAAGGGGAAGGATGGGGAGTAGGGTGCTAAAAGTTGTCTTCTTGGTGTTTTGTGGGAAGGAGGAGGAGGAGGGATTCAAGTAGTGCATGAACCGAGGTCGATGATGTGTTGGGACAGTAACCACCACCTCCCTCACATAGTGTATCACAACTATTAATAAAGTTATACAAAACCACAAAGTCAATCTTAGAAGATGAGGCGCGAATCAACCAACAAGGAAGAGATGGAGGAGGTGGGAGAAAAAGCAGTTGACAGCACATTGGCAAAATTGGCAACGTTTTTCCCCTCTACACCTCGGCGCTAGGTAAGAGCAAGGCCGTTCTCAAAGAATCCACCTTCACTGACACCATTATTGATGTCAAAATTCCAGGTGGAATCGTTGAAATCTCGACTTTCTGATGGTGCATCGAACGCAGACGCCGATGACACTGTTGGCGTCTGGAGCGACTTGGACATGGAATCTCCCAGATCGGCAAAGTCTACGTCAATCGGTGGAATAACACAACTGTTTGATTCGACCAGATCATTAAGTGCAGACGAGACTGTGTCAAAGTCAAGATCAAGCGGACCCAAATCTAGACCATCGGAAGGGTTTACCAAAGATGCAACGCCTGAATCCGTGTTCGAAGAGGTCGAACTAGCCACCGACTGTCCAAAGGAAGCAAAAGAGGCTAGAGGACTCGGACTCGAGGAAGATGGAGACTGCACTGTGCGACTGGTTGGTTCTAGATCTGGTGTGTTACATTCTACTGTGAGATTAGAACGATCCTCTCCCGCCGATACCGTCTGCCATGGTAGGACACCGGGAAAGTCGAAAAAATCCTCCTTCCATGACTCCACGACAGTGGTGTTCGTCTCCATATTTTCTGGCTCCTCAGCAATGCCAGGTAGTGAGTCCAAACAGGGTAGACTGATATGATCTGGCAGAAGAGATGTCTGTTCCTCGGGCAAAGTCTGCCTCATTTGTGTCTCTACGCGACTTTTCGATCCTTCAGAGGTGGACGCGAAAGCGTAAGTGGAAGCTTCATTGGTGGAAAGTTTGTGTTCATAAGTGTCCACCATTGTGGTGGGCTGCTGCCTTCTAGCTTGAGGCAAATAAAACGCCTCGCTAGTGTCCATCACGAGATTACGTCTTTTCCGCACTGCGAATGAAGAGGCAGACTAAAAGCGGAAAAATAATCAAGAAATTTCACAATCGAAACTAGTATACGTCACAGTGTTTTTTGACAAACCTGAAAGTGGGAGAACCTAGACCCTGACTCTTCCGATTTCCATGATTTTTGGTTTATATATCCATTCTCACTAACTACACCGGGTCGTGTGGTGTCTCTTTTGAGACCCAATGACTGAGACCACATGGAATGCCGCTGACGAGAAGCGGATGCAGCCAAAGCTAGCCTCTTCCGATTCGAAAAAGCAGGGTATGGAGGTGGTTTACGACCCACCTCCACCAAATCCGGTTCCCCGCCAAACTTCTCCGCCGGTGGGTACATCGAACACGGTGGTGTCTTTCTGCGACGCACGTGTGGTTGCGCCTGAGGATGAGACTGGTGCTGTTGAAAGGCCTCAGACGCTGTTTTAACGGTGACTGTTTCTATCTCATTGGACACGTCCGGAGGTACACTGACTGACTGATAGCAGATGAGTGTTGAGGCATGATGCTGTTGTGGCTGTGACTGTTGAGGCAATGGTGCCGGTTGTGAGGCGGTTGGTGAGAAGGTGAGGTAGATGCCGTCTGTATGGTGCGGCTGTTGTTGATAGTAGTGTTGTTGTTGCTGCTGTTCCTGTTGTTTTTCAAGAAGAAGAGACCGCGGAATTGGAGGCGGAGGCCCTGGAGGCGGCGCAGCTCGACGACATTTGGCCAAATTGGCCTCCAACCAGTCTGCATGCCGAGGGTTCACCCTCCAGAAACCCCCTTTTCCGCGTTCGCCTTTCTCGCGGGGTACCTTCTCAAAACACTTATTCAGAGAGAGATTGTGCCGCACGGAGTTCTGAAACACCAAAAGCCCATGAGTAACTTTAAGTATAATATAAACCGAGCTGTCCAATTCCAGGCTTAATAAGTGTTGAACCACTCTACAATAATTTCGGTTCAAGTTAATAGACACCAAAGAAATTTTAAATGATTTTTAGGTTTTGGTTTTAGGAGGAACAAAATTCATAATCAAGGCGGAATAATGTAAATATTGATAAATGCTAATGTTAATGTCCAAAATAGTTTCCACTTTCCTTAAATGCAATTTTACTCTTGAACGGCGGAAAAACTTGAATGCTACTGCACGGTTTACAACAACTCTAGTAAACGTATCAAGCTTAAAATAACTGAAGTAGTAAATATTAAGAATTGCAACACTTTCTACCAAAATGATTGCAAAATGCACCCTCAAGCCAGGACTGTAATGAGAAAAAGGTCTATGAGAATGTATCAATACCTTTCTTATGTAATCATTGAAACAGGATGGTAATTCTGCTAAAGCAGTAATCTAAAATGAACTTATCATCTTTGATTATGAAGAGTTTATATCTTTTGTAATTTATGGTGCACAAAACTATGCAATTTATTGAAAATTTCCTAACATTTTAGTCGAAATATCATAAACCGATTATCGGCTCGTAAATCAAATTTAGGAACTTTCTTCAAAATCGTTCCATGGAGCAGAATGACAGACAATTGTGGGAAAAGTAGTCAATCAGGACCAAAAAGTTGGGTTAAAAACAATATGAGCTAAAAGGTATAACAACAACACACGAATTTAACTGCAAGGAGTCTTTTATACCTGCCAGCTAGAATCTGTATGGCGATAATACGCAAAATTGGCCATGATCCAGCCATAAATATCCGACAGGGTAACCTTGGGCTTCCCCAATTCTCTCATAGCCAGACAGATTAAAGAGGCGTAAGAAAACGGAGGCTTTCCGGTCCACTTCGTTCGATAATCCATTCTAACCTGGGGATCCAGCAAACTACCTGCGTACGGGTGTGTTGGATGCCAAGAAATTTTTGCGTTGGCGAAAACTAGGAGAATAGATGCATCGGATAAAACAAACCTGTTGGGCGGTCGATAACGAATTTGTTGCCTCTGCTCGCGCCAAAACCGTCGGACTCGAGAGAAAATGGGTTCATATCCTTAGAGATTATATCGAATAGTGAACTTACGAACAGCCAAGTCAGGTTAGTCAGGGAATCATCAGAATCACGAAACGATGGATTACACTTTAACCAATTCTCACGAAACCTTTGAGCAAGAATGGAAAGTTGGGAGCCTCCGTTAGATGAAGAAAATGTACTGCGATAGGCAGGTTTCGCGTTGTTAAAATTTGAATCATTAGTTATGAAATGATAAGTTGAATCGCGTGGAACAATTCTGACCTCTGTCATGTCATCGAGAAATAATAAGATTAGATAATGGCAAATTGATTTAAGTATCCAGAAATAACGAAAGCAACAAACATGCACAGCCACCACAAAAACTTTAAAAGGAGAACGACGTGTCTGGGATATATATTACCACGTTCGCTTGGTCTGGATAAACAAATAATGTCTGGAGAGGAGAAATTCACAGTCCATAAGGTACACTTAGGGCCTGAAAAAAGCTTAACAAAATGTAAAAAGAAAACGGGTTGAACAAGTTTGTGGATTTGCTCAGTTAACTATAATATAATTTCGAGTAAGCTATGGCAAAATGAGGAAGCAAATTTATTTCCTTTCAAAAGTTTGATTTTAATGCTCATTTCAAAGGTAAATAGGCATTAAGAATCAGTGAGCCCTACTATGTGTTTGAAAGAAATCAGTTGCAGCCTTCAAATCATTTAGTTAATACGAAAAGCAAATTCGCCCTAAAATATTGCATTACCAAGTTGAATCTGTAAACTCGAGCTTTTATACAACGTAGAAGCAGTTCAGTCTTTAAATCGCATTTTGTTCTTTCTCGGTATTATCCTTTTCAAGGATCATTTAACTTATGAATCACTTAAATGAAGTTAGATGGCTCCGTTCTGTACCTACCAGGGTTGTTGATGGACATATAATTTGACATCGTTCCTTCATTTGTCATATTCTAAATTATGAAAGATAAGCTTCATAGAGCATGTGGTGCTAAAAGGACGGACGGAATAGTGCTATTTTATTGCATTTAGCATGAAGCCTCCACTTTTCTCTTAACCTATCGGTTCAATTAATTGTAAAACTTGGTACAACCCATTATAAGGACAAACGGATTATTTGCTACCACGTTTATAGGCTGTTAGGCAATAAAGCTGCGGCTAGCTATTTGCGTATAATACTATCGAACGAACTACGCGACAGTTTAGCATTTTTCGTCGCTGGCCCATTTCGAATCAGTGGGATTTATCTTTCAGGCATTTGTTTGCTGCAAAGAGGTGGTTTTAACTTTTTTCGGAATATCTTTATTGCAAAAGTTAGTCGACTCATGTGGATTAATTGAAAGACCTAGTTTTTGTGGGCTATTCCAATTAGAGTGTAAGAGATTGGGTCTGCACGCTTAGTGTTTTTTGGTGTATTTGTAATCAAAGATTTCCTTTTGTCCCGCATGCTACTTCTGATTTATGTTAATGTCTTGACTAAAAGGCTTGCCGACGTCGATGTTTTATTGATCAAATACCTTATGAGTTAATCTGGGTGCCGTGTACCATTTAGTCTCCCCTAGCGCTCCCGTTGTTGTGGTCTATCTACTTATTAATTGCTGATTATCACCTCGTTGCATTTAATTATTTCTTCTGCCATTTTGGAAGCATGGTCCAGTTGTTTGTCTTTGACTTCTCTTTATTACCCTTGTGCTGTGGCACTAAAATAACCCTTAACGTTTTCAATTTGTTATGCAAAATAGAGCCCTGTATTTTGTAATTTGCTGTCATGTACAACCGTGATAAATACAACAAAATCATGACTCTCCTCTATATCTAGTTTTATTCCACTGAACTCCTATGCAGCCACATTTACGCCAATATAAGCTTAGTGTTTTGGGTGTATGTCTTCCGTAGTGTGTGCTTATTATTCGTTCTGCTTAAAATAATTTTCTCCTCTTATCTAGCTATGTGCTTGAATGCCAATGGCCATGTATAGCCGGTGTGGCCTTTTATTTAAATCTGGATTCCTTTCTTTGGTGAAAGCCGGTCAAAGCCAATCATTTTTGGTAGCCAATTCAAGAAATATCCACTTAAGTTTTAATACATTCGACTGGATCCGACGAAACACACCCAGAAAACCCTATCGCTACAAAATTAACAAAATATACAGTGTTCTCGAAGAAGAGAAGTAAATCCCCATGCAATATTATTGCATTTCTAGAATTGCCATTGATCCGGATAAGGATGTATTTAAAAATGGCCCATCAGAGGCAGACATCGAAGTCTATAATGGTATACTTTTCAGACTTTTCTGTTACTTCCCCGTCAGAGGTTCGTAAAAATGTAGCTGAATCTCTAGCCAAGAACGCCTCCCGATACTTCGCAGTCGTCCACTTCGCAGGAAAACAATTCAAAGTCACCAATAATGACCTTATCTCTGTTAAAGCACCTCTCATTGAAGCCGAACCCGGTGAACTAATCCGTCTGGAGAAAATCTTACTTGCAGGAAATGCTGATTTCTCCATTGTCGGCAGACCCCTTCTTCCAAGGAATAATGTTCTAGTCACAGCCATGGTAGTCGAAAAAACCTTGCGGCACCCCTCACTCTGGTACCAATTCCATCGGAGAAGACGGCACCGGGTAATGAGAGGTAAGCACCCCACGCTTCCTCAACCCTCCCTTTCACCTAGTGTACCAAGACAATCTGGTAACTTTACGCATCGTGGATGTAGCCATAAAGAATGTCTAGTTCTTATGAAATGCCCTTTTTGAGATTGTTTTCCTTCTAAACGGACATGGAGCAGCATTTTCTTCGATTTCAAGGCGGACAGGCCGCTTGCTTTACTGAAGATTTATTAGTTGAAAATGCAACTGTACAAGGATGGAATTAAAAACGTATGGCCTCGCTCCTGTCGTGTGTTCGTCTGTTGTAATTTGTGCGATTACCTTCCTCACCTAGTGAGCCACGCATTTCGTCAAAGGTAGAAATCGCGACGTCCAAGTAGTCACCGATCTGAAAAAGAGAGTAAAGCGGTGAAGCAGTGTATCGTAAGACCAAGGAAACGCCTTTTGCTCGTTTTGGTATACTTGGAAGTGTTTAGACTCAAGAGTAACGTCGCCATCACCAGTTACGTCCTTCTCTTCTTCATCGTTGATTACCCTAGGGTGAATGATGTAAGAGCCCAAATCTCTTTTGCGATACGAGCCGCGCTGAATAGGATCTGGGTAGATAGATGCGAAGTGGAAGCGGGTAGTTCGGCCCAGTCGTAGGGGTTGTCTTCTGTTTGTAATGGGTCCCCCTGGCAGCGTTTTTACGGCGTACAGCACTTCATGGGATAGATCCTTCAAGTTAACGTCCAACCTGTTTAGATGTAAAGGGGGGAACTAAAGCTCTGCCACAAAGGGATTACAGTTCTAATTAGGGATGCTTTGTTCTTACCAAGTGTTGATATGCAGCTCAGATGGTGGGAATTTACCACTAGAGAAAGAAGACAGCGGTGTGTGTCGACCATCGGTAGAATAAAAGACTCGCACGAGAATGGGGCAAACTGTTCTTCTATCAATTGATGGCTTGGGAGAAGTAGCACTAGGGACGACGACAATACTTGACCTCTGGCGTTTGGCGACTGAATCACGATCCGAGGTGTCACCGTTCTTCAAAACGTCTTTCATGGTGCGGGCGACAAAGTTGCTGCCAGGTTGATCAAGCGAGGTAGAGGGTTTGCGTTTGAGGAAAACACGACGGGTTTCCGGGACTGGCCCAGTGGTTGCCGGAGGTAATGGGGACACATTTTGTCTACCATGACGAACTCGGCGAGAATCAGGCGAAACATCCCATTTGGCAGTGTAGGTAACAGACATTATTCTAGGGCTGGTTTAAGCACACAAATGACACATTAATGTGAAGTACGAGTGCAACAATGACAACTGAATATAGGATATGCTGAGTCGTCCAAATGAATCCAAGTTAAGAGGTCAAAAAGTACGTTCAGAGTTACACAGATCCAACTCCCTAATAAATAGCAAAATCTTCGAAAACAGTAAGTAAATCCTAGAGCTCAAATTAACTAATAATAGTCGCAAATGACTAAACCATGTACGCTTACAAAAGAACTCCTAAAAGCATTAAAATCAAACGAATGCAGAGAACGACTATACTACCATCAAATAATTTGAGCACTTAAGATCAGGGCTAGCCAAAGATATATTGCGGACTCTTCCAAAACCAACCAATTAAATAAAGAGGAAGGGTAACCAAATAGAAGCTAGGCGAAACTACACATGGGATTTGGCACAGTCGGGAGTTGGGGTGTTGGGGAACCGAAGCAGGCTTTGTTATCTGAAATGGTAAAAGAGAAAAAGAAGTCAAACGTGTCAAATGAAGCCAATATAGGAAGAAGATCAAAAAATGCCTTTAACTTATTTTTTTAAAAGACATCCCTTATTCGTTTATTGCAAAAACTTTGGGATCTATAAATATTTGCAACAGCATCTACAATAATTCTGTTTCTTAACTATTTTTCAATATCATTTGAGCTGTTTTTTAGCTCGTGGCATTTAATTAAGCTCCTTTGCTTTTAATCCTATTTACTTTATGCAATAGAAAGGATTGCTGTTGTGAATAATTTTTCCATATTTTCGTTTTAACCGATCGAAAATGACCAAAGATTTATTAGGTCAAATTTGATAATATGGCGAGAATTCAAAGCAAACACGATGCTCAAAATTGTTCACTTTCTCATCTTTAGCGCTACTTTTGCTTTATCTGACTTTCAAAATCAAATATCTCTGTATGTGCCTGAAACTAGTCGAGGCGTCTTATTGCACTTGAAAAACTACGTTAATTTTTCGACGCTTCAATGCGTACCTCTTGGCGACTATGCTAATAATCCTGTGTATGTTTCCACAACAACATGCCAGCTTCGCGTTAAAAGTAATGCGCTACTTGATTACGAAAGTCAGTCTTTCTTTACCATCGGTGTTAAAGTTTTCTCTCACGGTAAATTGTCCGGTATGAATTTGTTTTTTAATGTTTATTAATGCAACTAATGCAATTATGTAGTTTAAACCAATTAATTGGAGTACAATTGCAAAACCAAAACTAATTTTACTGCTACTTGTTCTTTTATTCTTTTTATTATTAGTTTTCAACGTTCACTATTGTGTGAAATCGCCTTCTTTCCGTACCAGTATTAGCATTTTAATCACTATAATATTTTTCTTTAATTTTAGACTCTTATAGGACAAATGAATTTTCCATTGCCGTGCATTTGCTTGACGTAAATGATGAGCCACCTGTCTTTGTCCCATTTTGGCCAAATTATCCCTCTTCAATGGCAAAAGCTGTATTAGCTGAAGAATCAAAAACTGGACCTGGTACAAGGGTGTTTAAAGCCGAGGCAACTGATGCCGATTCTAATGCAGTACTAGAATACCAATGGACTCCTGGACTTGGAGCATCATCGACCGACCGTTTCTATATTTCGCCAACTTCCGTATGCCCTTCTTAATTTTTAACTTAAGGCGGGACATTTTTGGTCAACAAAAGTTTTTATTTAACTTTTTGGGTTTATTGCATAAGAAACAATGGCCAATGACACTTTTGTTAGGTTAGTCATTTCTTAAAGCAGTCTTTGAGGTTATTTCATACTTTGACTGACAGCAACTGTTGTGCTACACTCAAGCAAATGGTGACATTTAATCGAAGTTTGGGTGCATTAAATAACAAACCACTTTAAAGGCTCTTTGCCTCTACGTTGTGCACGAAAAGCCTTCCTTTTCTTTAGATAATTTTTTGACACTTCTTTTGCTAATGCTGATCATGATCATAAACTTAGTATTTCAATAAGTCTGATCTTAACAGAATTTTGCCTCAGGGTGTAGGTCTACCGCTCCATGAATAATATTTTTCTAGCCATCGTAGAATGCTGGCAGACGATCCTTTACGATTTTAGACAATCCAAATTCTATTGTAAATATCTACCAACGTTGTTGTCAAAGCTTTAACGGAGCATTCACTTAACGTCAAACACTTTCATGACTTTTTTAAAGATCGAGACGGCAGGAAAGTGATGATTAACGTTGAATTGCCATGCCCATCGGAGGTGCGTGTTGGGACAGGTTTGCGTGAGCAAAGTACTCACAATCTACTGCCAAACATCGTTGGCGTGCAGATGGCACTACACCAAATTGCATGTATTTTATAGGACGGTCACTTTGACTCACCAATTATACTTCAAGAGTTCTTGACTGTGTTTCATAGTGTCATTTGTGAAAGTGTTAAAGAATTGCAAAGAAACCCACTTCAAATGGCTGTGAAATGTGGAACAAAGGATGCCCGCTGTGTGATGACATCTAGGTACCCCGTAAAATTTAGAGGTGGAGTGAGAAGTTGGAACATCATTAAGGTGTGAATTTTCAGTCAAGCTCACTGACCACTGTTGATGTCAAAAGGGAAAAAGACAATTTAAAGGTATTATAAACCACAGGACTGAGCATTGTAGAACCATTTGGAAAGGCGTAGCACCTGAGTTCTCCCCGATGTTTGCAAAGAACTGAATTGTGGATGTAATGCAGTGCCCCGAGTCATTCCTGGGAGATGAAATAAGGTATTGCTGGTCTAGAAGAGGGGTGGTAGAGCTATAGACACAAGTGGATACTCATGCCACCTCCGAAAGCTGAATAGCTCTCGTGGTTGAATACATGACTACAGGATATCTGTCCCTTAAATTACAATGGACCAACAAACTTTCGACAGAATTGACAACAGCCGAATGGTATGGCACCACAGTGACGGAGGAGTCCATGTAGTCAGCGACGTCAGTATGAGAACAACCAAACGTTCTTCTTTCTTCTTTAAGGGAGTTATTACAACAGTGGGGAAGGCTCTGTTTCCCGAGAACCATGTATACAGATTGAGCATTCGAGTTGTGGATTTGAATGCGGTCAAACCGGAGACGAGTTTTGCTGACATGCTACTATGGGTCTACACCTCCTACCAACCCGTGGTCTTCCCAGCGCCCATCTTTCAGTTCAACTACTCGGAGGAATTACCGCCTGAAACCATGTAATTCCAAATACTAGTTCGGTGATAACTCATCGTGAAGTTAGGCTTGACTCATGCACCAACCGGTCGTGTCTTGGACCAACTGGGTGTGACAAATGCCACTATTGTCAGCCGTAATTTTAGCGGTTATCACACATGTCAGTACATGTAGATTTTGCACTTCGAGGGTGTACATCACTCGAAGATGTGGAAGTTTTTAACGCATCATTTAAATATCTCGCGCTTCCACGCACAAAGTCACCACTGCTTGTCGTCGGAACTGGTCGGTGACTGGCTAATGGACACACAAGGTGGTTGCAGTCTAGCCTCTAAATTGCATTTGGTTGGCTTCGACCTTATAGCGATTACTAGTACGCCCAAAGTCTGTCTGCAGTTGATATTGGTCGGGCAGGTGAGTTGGACGGCAGCGAGATGTTCCAGAATGTCTATAAATTGGTCATGAATCGTCTATAACATCAAAACAGAAGAGTTTTCTGCGATTACGGACACTTCTGGCCGTAAAGGCTAGCTAAATGTGGACGTAGGTTTCCATTTGAAAAACTGTAGTATGTGAGCCTTTACAGAAGTGAGATGTTTCAAATCGTCCATCCACGTGCTACGCTTCACCTCCCTAACTACTTTAAAAGTATTACTTTTGACCATTTTTTTAAAGAGTGGGCTATGTTCCCGCGCGCTCATTGAATTCTCTTGACGAAAATATCACCTTTACCGTGCTTCGAGGACCCGATCCCTCGAAGGAGCCTATTCGAATTAACAATGGCGGCGACGGTCGGATCACCACTAAACGGCACTATGATTACGAGCTCATACTCGATCACTCCTGGAGTTATCTCATAGAGGCGCATGTCCCTAGTGGTTTCTCTGCCACCGCTTTGGTAAGTTAAATCGCATAAATTTGTAGATTTTACTCTTCAAAATCTATGAGTGCTACTTTAAATTTATAAGTAGCGTAAGCACACTCCCATTAAAACTTTTTTGTGAGCAATCACCACTAATCCTCTGATTGTGATTTCACCTGAATTTGTTTTTTTGAAGATGGTGGTCAATATCATTGACACGGATGACAATCCTCCATTTTTCGAGTTGGTGGAATATCAATCAGCACCCATTCTTGAAACCGTCCAAATTGGAAGTGTTGTTCTTGAAGGTAAATTTGGCGACTTCTTAAAGGCTAAAGTGGTTCTGTAGCGCTTCTGAAGACGACCAAAGACCATATAAAATTAGAACTTTGTTTAGTTTGTTGCTAGTTCTTTTAAGTAAATGGCTAGCGCATGCCTACAAAAGTATGTAGCATCCCGGAACCTCCCTAAAGGCGTAATAAAGCGTATCCGTGCGGAAGAATGGTTTATGCTCAGTATATGGAGAAGCCGGGAGAGTTTAAGACTACATCCAAACACAAATAGCAAAGCTATTTGTTTATCTTATGCTTCCGGAAATGACCTCCGTCTCTCCCTCCGTTATGGACAATCACAGGAAAAGCGATGGAGTTGGTCCATGGGCAGGAGGCTACCTGGTGGTTATAGTGAAATCTTGGGATTTAGTTTGAGTTTCAGACTATTGTATCCTCTCTAGGATGGAACGCATTAAAGATAGCCTGATTCAGGAGACAGTGCTTGAGACTGCGCGATGTTCCACAGCAAGCATATTCTGGAAACCAATTGCTTTTTTTCAGTAGCTTCTGCTTTGCGTGATTTGATTTTAAAGACCATATAGCAAGCATTCCTCTACTCTTAATTTCACTTCGTTGAGAACCTGTTCTTCACTATCAGTGGTATGCCAAAAGTTGCAGTCTTTACGGAGTCCCTGGCTATTCAGCCGTCCACGGCGGATGGCAACAAAGTCAAAAGTTTTGTCCCTGAGGATTGAATACACTTGCTTCTTCTCTTCTTTGAAGACACTGTGATATGCAATAGTACGAGTCAACGCTTATTATCAATGCGTGGAAAGGCTAGAAGGCTGTAGTCATGATCACTATGTCTCACCGTCAAGAGGGTGGAAGGGCCCACTGACTGAATGGTCAGTGCAGTTGAGTATCTACCTAAATCAGACTAGAGTTGGTCATTGTCAAGATGCTATACTTTAGTTAAAAGTACCGATGACATTTCTAGTGACCCCTGGTGATCGAGACACACTACCCGCCAACAGAGTGTATCAGTACAGGCTTCAAGGAGCCGAAGCCGTGAATTTTCGTGTAGTGGCAACTTCCAAAGGTTCAGCACAAATCGAGACATTTGCGTGAGTTCCCATTTCTCCTTCCAATGCTTTTTAAGCATCCAGTTTTTAATGATATCTTTTCGTTGTGCTGCATAGACCGCTGAGTTTTGCTGCCCTTCCAATCGGTCGACCCTTCTACGAGTTTGAGTTGATCGCCTCGGACGCAAGCTCGAGCGCCAGCACCCTGATTCGTGTGATGGTTCAAAACGCCAATGTCAATCCTCCCGTCATTATTCCCCTACCACGATTGAAAATCTTCCGCCAGCAGATTGCCAAGGCCTATCCTTTTGCCCAAGTTGCTGCTACTGACGAAGACGGTGGAAATGTGAGCTTCTTCTTTGTGGACACGGGTTAGTTTTTGTGGCTCAAGTGAAGTTAAAACTTCTTTTAGACATGTAGCACAAAAAAAGACCTTTAAAATTTTGAATTTCAGTTACCAATCGGCCGCTGATCGAAATGGGTCCTTTCAGAATCGAAACTAACACAGGAAAGATCTTGTTGATTCGTGAACCTCAACTCATGAACTACACCCTACCGGTTGGAGCGGCAGATGATGGAACGTGTCCAGGCTGTCCACAGCCTGGAACCAGTTTGGAGAGTAAAACTATGGAGATTAATGTTGAGGTGGTGGATAAAAATCTTGTGGCGCCTCAATTTACTCAGTGCCCAGCCACAATGACGCTTGAGGAGTTGGCACCGGCTGAAACTATCATTGGATCGGTTAGTTTGACCGAATTTGTTAAAATGTTGATTTGCATCCCTTAAATTTTGTTTTTTTTTTAATAGGTTGCAGCAACGGACACGGATAATCCGGATCTCGCGGCAATACGCCTCCGGTATGAACTGATCGGCAATACGGTATTCGCAAGACCGCACCTCTACCTTCAAATTGTCCAAAATAATGGCTCAATTTACAATGTCAAGCCATTACTGCGAACCGCTGATCAATTTGGTGGAGTATTGCCCGATCAACTCTACTTCACAGTGGCTGTCTACGACTGGGGTGGGTCTCTGTTGGCTTGGGTTTAAAGAGAGCTAACACGGCAACATTATCTCGTGGAATTTGGTGTTACATTTACAGGCGTGCCCGAGCTCAAATCGTTGTGCAATTTCCGTTTGGAGATCGTGGATATTAACAACTACCCTCCTCAATTCGATCCCACCAGTTACACCGCGTTTGTTCAGCGATTTTACGACTTCAGTCAGTATCCTCTAAGCCCCATCCTCCAAGTGGTTGCAGTTGACTTGGATCAACCCGACACCCTCAATGCGCAAATTCTGTACGAATTCGCTTCACTCGACTTGACCTTCTTCGCTATTAATCAATCTACCGGCGAAATCTCCGTGACGACGACGCTAACTGATGTAGGTCAGCATCTCAGCAAGCACAGATATGCATATCCATTTATTTCTTTCCCAGTAGTCATTGAGTATGACGCTTACTAACCGGAGAAGTTAGGACGATTTTTTGGTACAGCTCACCAAAATGGTTTGTTGTGTCCTACATGTCCTGACACATGCTGCGCGTTGACGAATGACTGACAGAGTGACTGACTTGGAGTACGAAATGGTTCCTTTATTGCTACTTTTGCTGGGCCAAACTGAGGGTTGATGGTACCATGGAGTGCAGGAGAATGGCACCGAAACTGAAGCCCATCCAGCACAATAGGATGGGGATGATGAAAGGGGTTAGAAATTGTGAGAGTCGTATAGTCTGGGCTTTTTGGCCGACTCGATCTCCTCTAGTGCGGTTAATCCAGATTCCTGTCTTCAGCTAGAGGAGTGAAATCTACACCAGACGCTCAATTACAAGAATTAATTATGATGTTTAGAGGACCAAAAGCGAGGAAATTATGCAGGAGTTAATGGAAACTTCACTTTGGTCCAGAAGTTGGTGCACACGTATTCGAAATACACATATAGAAAATACGAATGTAATTGAATTGCAGGTGGCTGGGGCTGAGACTGAGGTTGGGACAGTATCTTCTTCCCCATCCCATCCCATCTCACTTACTCATCATAAAGTGTAGATCCTCTTTTGCCTTACTTTGCAGTGGACTTGAGGTATTGCGTCCTTGAAGGTGTCTTCTTGTACACCTTCCAACTGTAGCGAGAAGTGTCGACATCTCCGACGTAATTATTTGGTCCTCACCACACACAAAGCATTGTCTTCTGTGGGTGAAGTGGGACCTAGAAGTAGTTGCATAGGTGTGGGGTGGGACGGTGGGCCAGTGGACTATTTGGACACAAACCCTACAGTCTACTCCTTGGGTTGGTCATTTAGTCAGTCATCAAACATTCATCCACATCTAGACGCCGTGTTTTCACAATGTAGCTGAGGTGGAAGAAGTGAAGAAGAACAACAGATGCGTCATCTTTGAAGCTAACCGCTAGTCGCTTGCTCCTCCATGTTATAAGTGTGCGACTCATTCCTCCACCCTTCACCTCCCAGTTGATGGAGGCGTCGATGAACCCCTTACTCTAAACACCGCATTACTTTTAAGGACAGTAAGTCCTCCTGAATGTGACCCCTTTAACTTTGAGCGCCTTGTCTTGCTTTCTACTAATGCTGCATGGCAAGTTGTGGGCGAACCTTGTGCAGACCTGGAACCGAATTCAACTGGCTTCGTAAGACAGACATGCATCAGTTACAACCATCACATGAGGAAGATGAGGAATGGAAGTAGGGGAATAGTGGTGGAGGACCTAGTAAAGAGTATCCTACCAATGTATTTCACGAATACTATCAAGATCCAGTGTGGAGATCATTAATGCCATCAAGATACGTACGCGTCCACTGGCTGGAGTGCTGAGTTCCTTAATGATCACCATTCTGGATAACCTTCAACCTCCTGTGGTTGTGAGTCCATGGAGAGGACTCAACGGAAGCGCAAATTGGAGAATATTCCGGAACATCCACCAGAGCATCGTATCTGCTTATTCTTATTTCAGCCATCCTATACATTTGAAGTCCAAGCGAGGAATCCCATTCCTTTAGCTAAAACCTGGAGGACATGGCAGGTCGCCACTGTTACCGTTGTGACATCTAACGCACCTCAGCTTCTTCCCCCAGTCATCAAAACTGAATTCGTGTAAGTGGCTCCAGCCGGTATTTGGAATCTCACTATAAAGAGGGTTTTAATTGCGCTTAAACGAATTCAAACAGGGCCTCAAAGTTCCTGGAAAATAGTACAAATCTAGCACTGGCCCAGATAGTTGCAACGCCCTGGCCTGGAGCCACCTACGACTACTCCATTGCGTACATCCCAGGCGCCTTTGAACAAACTGGTTGGATTAACAGTCCACCACCGTTTACCAGCGAGATTGTCTACTCTTCGGAAAGAAGACCTACACTGACTATCTACTCGGGCTCCAATTTCCTCTATCAAAGAATCAATCGGTATATCGTGAGAGTCAGAGCCTGCCAACAGCCCACACATCCGGTCCTCGGTGACATTTGTGCTGATGTGGTGATGACCTTCCAATTGGAGGATGTCAACAACATGGTGCCACAGTTTATTGACCAGTTCAGTCTGTCCGAGGTGGGCCTTCCTGAAAATGCGCCTTCGAGAACAGTGGTGTTGAAGCTGTTTGCTGTGGACTTGGACCCAACAACGCAGTTCAACAAGGTACGAGGAAAATTCACTGCTCTAATACCTTTTAATTCAAATTATCAGACTAGAGGGAGAGGCCACATTATTCCATATGGATGACCGATGTGACTGCATTTATGCCAAAGTCATCCAGAGCCTAAGAAATCTGTTTTATTTCTGTCACCATTGTAGGTTCAGTATTCCTTGATGCAAACCACCGACGATAATAATTTTGTAATCGAGGGAGATTTGCTCCTTACCGTAGCTGCTCAAATGGATTTTGAAAGGAAGAAAAATTACGTGTTAAAGGTGAAAGCAGAAGACAGCGCTTCATCTTCGCTTCAAGCTAACGAGGGTAGACCAAATTCGGGTGAGTGTAGTACTTTCGACATTCAAGTCAACACGGTGGACCTTATAAGGCACAGACTGACGTCTCTGATAGACTAGAAAGCTAGTAATAGAGCTTAGTTGTCACCAACTTGGCAACTGAGCTGCGAGGGGCTGAAATAGCTTTCCATTGCATACCTCCCCCCTACTTCTACCACATTTCCAGTATCTGAGGGCGAGACAGAAGCAATGTTGTTTAACTGCTGTATCCATCCCATTTTAGCTGAATTGCCACTTACTGTATACTTGTTGGATCAGAATGATCGGTGTCCTCAATTCATCTCAACAACGATGGAATTCAGTGTCTTGGAGTCTGCCGTTGTCGGGTCTGAGGTGGGCAAGATTAGTGCAGAAGATGCAGACGAGACATCAGTGCTTGTCTACACGATGGTGGGGAGCTCTGTTGACTTTGCCATCAATTCTGCCACTGGCCAGGTCCTAGTTGTTCGACCACTTGGGTTGGCCACTGTACAGGTACGCACGCGAGCCTTCCCTGAAGACGCATTTCATGTGTCCATCTCCATTCTCCCAAGATCAGAACCTTTAAGCACCAGTCGCCAGCATCTATTCTTCATTGCCACTATTCCTCACATTTTGATACCGCCGCTTATCCATCTCTTTGGGTCTATCCACCTTCCACATTCATTTCATGAGCAACAGACTTCTCAAGTTGGTATTTTTCATGCCTTATAGACTCAAAAATACACCGTCTCCGTAAATGACGGGGACTGTGAGGTGAGTGGGGAGGTGGTAATAAAAATCATCTCCACTAACCAGCGATTACCGGAGTTTACTCAATCTGTGTACGTCTATGATGTGGTTGAACTCTCCAAAGTCGTCTTAAACGCTTCCGTAAGTTATTCTCCTCCCCACCGTCCCATATTTGAAGATCTATAATCAAGATATCTCAAAAGTGTTTTTTCAAGTGATACCTTTCTTCTGGCCTTTTAGCCCTCAGCTACAGACCCTAATGAACCGAAAAATTTGAACTACTCAATCGGTGGCTTTTTTGTCAGCTACTTCAGCATAAATTCAACGACGGGCGCATTGAGTATTGTTAAGGGCATGCCGAGGGACCAACCGGTTGGACTCCCGGTAAGACTCAAGGCCGTCTGAATTGACAGCTTGCCTTGAAGGTTGAAGAGTTGATTTCATACAAACATAAAATTCTGAAATAACAACGTACCAGTATGCCACAAGCATCAAGTACCCAGCGAATATTTGGGAAGCCTCGGCATAGAGCGTTTTGTCAGCACGCCTGAATAGGTCCAAGCAAACTCGCTCGAGCGAGCAGCCTTGCATTCCTGACCTCTGATGTAGTCCTCCAGAATGGCAGATTCCGTAGTATGTAAAGGCAGCATCCAGTAGAATGACTTATCTCTCGTCCATGAGTCGATCAGAGGTTCGAGGGTTTATAAGAATGATTGTAGTGCCGTGAGCCAAGAAGGAAATATCAACCTCGGGATTGCCATTGATGCACAGACGTACGACCGTCTTGAGTCTTTGAAACAACTGCGTCATTTAGGATAGCTCACTATATCGCTACTGGAAGGCTACAAAGGACACGTTATTTCACCACGGCAAAATTAAAATTTCGGGCTTTTCACTCGAAACGGGAAGGGATGTTTCCATCTGTACCAGTTGACTTAATTCTGATTGGCCCATGGAACAGGTCTTCACCATTTCCGTGATGGCGAAAAATCGGAAAGGGTACGCCTACGCTGAGGTACGAGTTCAACTGGGAGACATAAACAACCAGTATCCACGCTGGCCTTTCCCCAATTCGATGGTCGCTTGCCCCGAGAACTCGGCAGTGGGCTCGCAATGCGCAAATTTGGTTGCGCCGGATGCAGACTTTGGAATCAATGCTACGTCCAATTATCGTGCTGTTACAAATAATCAAAATTTTAGAATCACTGAGACTGGTTCCCTTATTCCTCTGATCGTGAGTTGGATTGATTACATTTAATATACACGCTCGTTACCATGTGTCACATATGCGTGACACACTAAGTTTCTTCATTTAATCTCCATGCCGCAGCTGTGCGATTCATGTATGCGTGCTAGTCGCCCTAGTTTTAAGTTGTGAACACCCACACGCTTTCTTGTTGTTAGTAAATGGAAGTTTTACAAATAGTTTGCCTTATACGGTCCAATCATAGTGCTCTCCTAACCGTTTTTGAACAGACCCAGTAGTAATAGTAGAACTAGTGTGAAGACTTTCATAATGCGATTTACCTCTAGTCCTTCGACTACGAAACACTGACATCGCAAGTCCACTATATTCCCATCGTGGCAACTAACGTGGAGCCTCCGGCAAGTGGTGGACAGCTATTCACTGTCAGCGGAACTCTAACTGTCGTTGTCTCCGACGTCAATGATTCACCTCCTACCATCGTTGGAGGACCGTGAGCTGACATTGGTGTTGATTAAATAAATTAGTAAAAATCTAAAAAGTGAGATTTTAAAGAGAAAAACCTTTAGGTTTGATTATCCCCTTCAACACTTGTATTAACCGTAGTCGGTGGTCATGGAGACGCGTGAACATTTAACCTCCACCTTAGTGATTCCTTCCATCTCTTCTGTTGTATCCGATTTTCGTCCTGTTAAAGAATTAGTTGTCGTCTAAAAAGGAATTAGCTGGCTTCTTACTGCTCCAAGCTGGACGATGCTCCACAACGTGTGTAGATCGTATGTCAGTCGCTATTCCTAGTGCAACACTGCCCTAACCTCCCACGGGGCTTCAGTAGTTACTGGTGTTATCACTTATTCACGTACCCTAGGAAAGAGCCGCTCCAGTCTGATGTCACCTCAGTTGTCATTTGCCTTCCCACCAAACACGGGACTGAGGTAGCTGGAAAAAGTAGCCACAGTTTTAACCCCTCTTTTGAAAATCGGTCTGGCTTTAGCCATCTGAATCAGATGCCTTCTTTCTGCAATATCCCACTCAATTCTAAGGTCTTTGAAAGGCATACCGGGGGTCCCACGCCATCAAAGAGGCAATTCGTGGTGCGGGGTCCAAAAAACCCGCGTGATTACAAGTCCAGTTAAACAAGCGTCCGTTATCAGTTATATTCTGTATTTCTAGGGATTTTGACATAACCGTAACTGAGAGGGCCAATGTTGGCGTAGAAGTCTTCGAAATCTTCATTGAGGACGGTGACGTCTCAGATTGGGGAAAGCACTCCTGTGTTTTGTCCACACAAAACAGCTATTTTGATGTAGTCTACAATCCCACAATCGACGCCTGTGGTATCAGAGTAAGTATGAAATTTAGTAGATTTTGGTGATACTTTATTTCACCATTTATTCAGCAAATCTATTTCTTTGGCAGCCTCTGCAGAAATTCAATGTAGACAGTCAACCATCAGTGCCTCCAGAGCCTCAAAATCTTACCATAATAATCTTCGACTCTAACCACATTCACAAGACCATTTCCAATGTACGAATCACAGTTACTGAAGACAATGACAATCCACCCCTAATCCGCATACAACCGACTTCCGGTCCGGGCGAGCTTCTGGATGGGACATTAGGACTGGTGACTCTTGTAAACCTCCAAATCTCCATCATTGACATGATGGCCGAGGGTGCATGGTTTCGTCTGGATTCCAAGTCCTCTGCCAATGGAGCCTTTGGGATGGACGCGATTAATGATCAGTCTGTAAGACTGCTAAAATTATGCTTTTGGCGGATGGGAGTGTTTCAACAGACTTACGTGGTTACTTAAAGCTAGTCCGTTTCTTGGGGATGATGTGTGGAAGTGCAAAAGTCACCTTTTTTCTCAGTTAAGTCGATCAATTGCTCATTCCATTACTGGGTAAACCGTTCTGCCTCCACGCCTTTCAATTCTCATATAACTTTCTCAAGGCGCGCATTCAGCTGATCTCACGTCTCGAGAGGGATAACCTTCTTAACCTTCTGAAAAACCCAACCACCTCACCTGTCCGCCTTCCAATTTTGCCTTCGTCGGAGGATGGAAGAGTACGCTGGCCTCTAATCGTTAGCGTAAACGATAGGCGGGAGCCCTCATTGACTTCCACCGTAACGATGACCTTGACCGTCATCACGAAGGGACCTGTGCTGCCAAGCCAAGCACTGGAGGGCTACCAGGTTGCGGACAATTCTCCCCCTAATACACCCATTCTTCCACTGCAAATAGCAGCCATGTAAGTGTTATCTACTAACGCTTAGTCGTTGGCATTTTGACCCATCCACGACCATCACGGCATAATGACATTCTGATTTTACTATCTTGCCTCAATGTCGCATTTATGCCGACAAATATAACCACTTTTCCTTGCGATTAGCCTTTTTTTCCGTGTAGGCATTTAAAACAAGAATGGTGTAATACTTTCTCTCTCCAGGGATCTTGATTACCCAAATCAAGGGAGTAAAATCTCTTATGAACTTGGGTCTCAATCAGCTCAGGCTCTCAGACTTTTCACAATCATTAATCAGACTGGGGGGAAGTTCAACCTCGGTCTGCGAACCACACTCTCGCGAGAAGTTGAAGGCATGTCCTACTTCCCCGTGCCGATTGTCGCCACACTGTCACACTTGGCAAGAACAGCCACTTCCACGTTGACAGTGACAGTAACCACTGACAAGCCCCCGGCACCATCAAATGCGCTTGGAAGTCTTGAGGCATTCATTCCCTCGGGTGAGTCTAGCGTCTTCCCTTTCTCGCGGCAGCTGTATAGTGTCATAAATGTAATTGATTTATGTTTTATTGATTTATCGGTTTTATCGAATAACCAATTTGAGTCCTGACCACCTCGAGTGCACTACCCGTTGGGTTTTATTCACAGGTGTTTATTTCTGGGAAGAAGTTTCCTATTTTTTTTCTACAAAAAATCCATTAATACGTTGTTTTGCACTTTTTTTTTCAGATGTTTGGTACTGGCCATGTAAGTTGCAGCGGCAATTAAGTCAGTATGCTTCACGTCGAATTTTGTTTTTCCTCCTAAAAAACTCCTCATTTTCTATTTGCAGACACAAATGCCCTACCAGATTTACCGATTGCCTCAATGCCTGTTACGGAGCGATTTGACTCCGACCGAATCAACCGAATCTTTCATTTTATGCCAGAAAATGAGAATGATCTCATGTTTAAGTAAGCGAAAACTTGTTTATGCATTGAAACGTCCTCCTTAATTCAGCAGAACACTCTTTACATCTCCTGCAGACAGTTTAATCGACTGAAGCCAAGTATTTCACAAATAGTAAATTTTCAACGAAAAATTTTTACTACTTATTCTTGAAACATGTTCATGTTAATCCGAGACTTGGGGGTTCTGCAACAAAAGAGCACTTTTTTGGGGACCCTAAACTGAATTTATTTGCCACAAACTTTCTTCCTGTGTTTATAAATAAATACGTACAAAGTTTTTATCTGGCACAATTTGGTAGTACTGCTTAATCGTCACAGGGCAGCTCGTAACACTTCATCATCTGTGCTAAATCTGCATGATTCTTCTGCCTTAGGGCACGTTTGTGCACCCGGACTTCTCTAATATGTTCTGACGACATTCAGATTATCCTATTCTTTTTTATTAATACAATCCCTTGATTCTGCGGACCACTTTAACTCATTTGTTATTGTCTAAATCAGAAAGCCTTCTTGGTACTCACCTAATGTGAATACGCCAACTCTTCAAGATTTCCAAGAGCTTGTAAATCATCGTGTTTACTTTTCCCATGGAATGCTTCGTACCTTCTGTAGCTTTGTTATGTGACAGATTATGTGTCGATTAGGCAAACCACACATCCGATGCCCATTCGCAGGAATACCTGCTACACTGAGTCAGGAACAGAAGTATGACTGTCAGGTCATATATGAAGGGGTT